AGCGAGGAGCCTCCCCTCCCTGATCTCTGTATTCGCTGATTAGGGTGCTCCCCTTGATGCCGCGCCTGCGCCCGCTCGAGCTGGACGTGTTTGGGGTGCCCGAGGCCCTGCTGCTGGCCATCACGCCCGCCACTGCCCCGGCCCTGAGGACACTGCACCTGAGCCCGTCACATACAATGATCGGGCACCTCGCAATCCAGCATGTGGCGATGCCTGGCGGCATGAGGACTCAGTCCAACAGTTTTTGTCTGTAAATCAGGTAGACCGCGAGAAAGTCGCCCGAACTGATGGTGTGGGGCAGTCCGTTCTGTGGCGACTGCCACATTTGCAAATTGGGTTGCCACCAGGAATATTCGAATATTGATGTGGATGAATATTGTAGGGATTGGATCCACATTCGATGAATTACAATGAATGCTCCCTGCTCCCTCTGAAAGTGTTGGTAATTTTTGTAAATGTATAGAGGAACATGCAATAATAAATTATTTTGTGCAAAACTCGCTTTTACTTCCACATGTACTTCATCAAACGATCGCAAATCCCACCCTGTTTGATTCGAGATAGGCACATGGTCTGTGAAGGAACGCCCCACTTGCCCCACTTGCAAAGTAAATGCTTTCTAGTTTCAAAGGAGCCAACACATCGTCGCCGTTCTGCAAAGCATTGCTTTGCAGGAATTTAAGAGTCTACGCAACTGAAGCTCTATTGTTTTTTTTTGAAAGCCCCCGTCCGGGGCTGGACGACCCCCGGGAGCGAAGGCTCAGTCTGGGCACTAGAGACCCGCAACGAGTGAGCTACGCGAGCAACGCGCTAGAGCCGTGCGCTGCGAGCTATCTTGCTCGTAGGGCCGCTCGCCTCCGCGGCGGAGACAGCCTAGCTTTTCGGAGGTCCACATCGTACGAGCTAATTTGCTCGCAGGCCCGGGGGCCCGGCCCGCTGCTGCAGCATGCAGGTTCCAGTGCTTGCTGTCGCCTGCGCCTGCACGAGCTAAATAGCTCGCGCGAGCCGAGCAGAGCCGAGCAAGGAAATCGCGCGGTCTACGAGCAAAATAGCTCGCAGCGTGCGGCTCTAGCGCGTTGCTCGCGTAGCTCACTCGTTGCGGGTCTCTACTGGGCACGTCCACGCCCTCCCAGACCGGGCTACCCACCCGATGACGCCCGGACTGGCCGAGTTTGAGACACACTGCTGTGATTTTACAAACTGGCATCGTAATGCCACACTGGAGATGAAACAACTGAAAATTTTCATCATCAAATTTAGCTACAACCAAAAATTAACTTGCCAATTTTTCACAAACATTTCGATTTTTTAAGAATGTTTTCCTGATAACTTTTAGCGGTCTCCAATGGTCAACACGAGTCAACGGAAAACTTAAAAGCAGATGTATCTGTTTTGACCTCTTTAATTATTCAGTAATAATTAATCGTACTAATAAAGTAAACATTAAGTAATAATAATTCAAGTACTCAAAAAAATCGAGTTTAATTACCAGCATAGAAAATGAACGCAACTCCACTCCACTCCTGTTCCAAAGTATCAGATGTTAAGTACCACACTTTTAGTAATTATCTTTAGAAGGGTGCTAAAACAGGCGGGTATTGGCCACACTGACTGTTTATAGGTATTGGTAAGATTTCAGGACACGTGAACTTACAACTATTTGAAGTTCATGTAAATGGATGGATAGTTTTAGAATGTCGTTGGTGCCTACACCTGCTTTCCAGACATCTTTGTGGCAGTCCATGGCACACACCACACAATTGCTTTTTTCGCATTCTTGGGCACCCAAGAATTCGAGCTGAATGTGGAGCGAGGGGTTGGCCATGAGAGCCGGGTGGACTGCGTCCTCGTGGACCCAGGTGTGGGGACACGGATGCCTGCCCATCTTCAGCTCCAGGATGCGCAGGGCCGGGGCCGTAGCGGGGTTGATGCGCTGCAGCAGGTCGAGAGGCAACGAGCCCAGGGAAGTGTAGAGACTGCTGTCCAGCACCAGGTGGCGCAGCGCGGGCAGCGTGGCCATGGAGCGGAGCAGTGGCCGCACTTCATCGTTCCTACATGGGAGTGTGCAGAATCGGAGCTCCAGCCGCTCCAGGGCGGGCGAGGCCAGGGCTTGCAGCACCTCGCACCCCAGGCCGAACCAGTCCAGCATCAAGCGGACATCACGCAGCTGCTTGGCCCGGCGCAGCAGCTCCACAACAGTTGAGTTGTAGCCTACGTCCACGCACAACTTCCTGAGCGCCCCGCACGCCGCCACGGCCGGCAGCCCGGGTATGTTGGGGTAGTCAATACGCAGACTGTGGAGCCTGGGCAAGGCGGCCAGCAGCGAAGCCACCGTGTCGTCTGTCCAGCTGGTCCAGCCGCTACAACCGACCTTGAGCTCCACGTCCTCCAGGGTGGCGCTGTGCCCCGCCAGCACGGCATGGACAAATGGCACTGTGTCCCGAGTAAGTTTCCAGCTGAACTTCCTGAGAGACTGCACGGACGGATGCGGAACGGGGGCAGTGGACGCGTAGTTGGAGGCGCGGTCCCGGCAGTTTTTACTGCGTGTCAGCGACTCCAACCGAGGTAACGTCGTCAGCGCGTCCAACAACACGCGGCAGGAATTAGCAGAGGACCTAAAGTCCAGGTGCACGCGCCTCAGGCGCCCGAGCGCCTCCTGGTGGCGCACCATCTCCACGTACAGCTGGGAGTTAAAACCCAAATATCTATCCTCCAGCGTCAGACTTGCCACGGCGCACTTGGTCGTGGTTATGGCCCGAAGTGTCCCAGCAGCGGCACAGATGTACAAGTGGTCCAGGCACGGCGCCAGGCGCAGCAGGTGCAGCGGCCCACGCTCTCGGGGGGACGCGGCAGGGACGCCAGGGGAGCCGAGGCGGAGCTCTCGGTGGCGCCACACCCGGCCGACGAGCACCAGCGCCCCGAGCCTCTTGCAGACGCGGCGGCAGGCGAGGAGGTCCCGCACGTCCAAATACTGCAGCACCTCGAGGAGCACCTCTTCGGGGAGCAGGTCCATGACGCTCGCTTCCAAGGACACGACCGCGGAGATGTAGTATTACGGCTTGCGCGAACAGTGCGCAAGGAAACCAACTGGAAACAGAGGCGCGCGTAAATGACGGAGCCTCTCGCAGAACAACATAACATCGAACGAATAAACCATTTCAGGATAGGTCCCTTGAAGTAAAAAATCACGTAAACAGTAATCAGTAGGGATGAGGGATGGACAGGGGGGGGGGGGGCAGGAGGGTGCTATCTGAGTAGAAATACTATGGCCCCAAGTTCCAGGGCTTCCAGGTTACATCCCTCAAATGCCCCCCCCCCCTCCCCCAACACCAACTGTTGCATTTTGGAGCCGTGTCCGGGGGGTTTGCCTCGGGTTTGCCTACTCGCTCTGCCCGTGAAGCACCATGGCCCCTGAGGTAGGCAAACCCGCCTACACCTGTGTATTTCGAATAACGGAGGAAGAAGAATAGCGGGTAGAACATAAACGTTACCGATTGGCCGTGAGCTTCCCGCCTCTACGTCACGCCGGTAGTCGGGGTAACCGCTCGGCCAATCAGGAATCTATACGTTCTACCCACTGTTCTTCTTCCTCCGTTAGTCGAAATACACAATAAAGCATTCAGGTAAAGCTGAAATGCAGAAGAATGCAGGGAACTAAACGGAAGTCACCATGTTACAGCATAGCGATTTCCGTTTACTTCTTCCCCGCATTTTTCTGCATTTCAGCTTTACCGAAATGCTATATTATAAAACTCATCACGCACAAAGACCGATACTTTTGTGAATATAGCCGTACTGTGCCTCCCCTTCCGCCCCCTCACCGCCCCCTTCCTCGCTTCAGCGCGATCAAGACAAGTTTTGTCTCTTTTTAGACGGTCTTTTTGCTTTGTTTCGGTTCCCTCACCCCTGCACCCCGCTACGCTCCGCCACTCTGGGCAAGGCCTTCATAGGAGCACTCAGTTTTGATAGGAGCATATTTTAATCAGTTAAACATGAAATGAACATTGTCAGTAGAAAGCCGATCAAAAAACGAATCTGATTAGACGATTTGGGCTACCTCTGACCAAGAAGGTGAGGAAATAACACGATCCAGAGAAAATAATGAGTTAATGATAGTGACCCTGAAGGCCCTATCGGCATTGCCCCTGATATTTTTAAAACCATTGTCAGCTCAAACAAAACACAAACAAGTATAAATAACACGTACTCACGTTTGATGATAAAAGTTTAGAAGAAAGAGATAGAGCTTTGCCGCGGAAAGCAAGTCGCGACCTGTTTGTGTGCGTGAGAGATACGCGCACACTTCAACCAAAGTGCGTGCGAGCTTGTGTTACTACGCGTGTGTCACATCGGGAGGCCGTAGCCTCGTACCAGGGAGAAACCGATACACGCATCGTAAAGTGCATACTCGCAACACCTATCCTAACCTCTATTTTTGTATATCACCTCTACTTTCGATTGTGTTGTTGCCGTATTCCATGCAGTAATAACTACTTATTGTACCTAATGTGCAGGAAAATAGAGTTTTACTACCTGCTGCGCCTGCTGTCAGCCCTGTGGCTCTGCCCTACGGAGATCGTGGAGAAATCAGCGTATGTATCAGCTGCCAAGCCCAGCTGCGTCCCACTCGTCTCTCTCATCTCAAGTCGGTCGGTATGGGTCAGTCGGTCGGTGCGAGAGAGATAGCATCCATTAGAATTGCATACATCCGGCTCTCTCGCACCAACCGACGGACTCAAATGAGAATTGGAACACATCGAACCCCTAACTGCAAAACAGGTTGCTCGGTCATGATTTTTGAGAAAATGGTCAAGTACTAACAGACTAGTCAGCACAAAAATATAAATCCTACTAACTGCTTTCACTAGAAAATGGAGAGGGCCAGTTCTTGTTTTTATTTAATGCTACTAAGCCATTGAGTGCTTATGTAAAAATTTATTCTAAAAAACAAATTATGAATAATGATTATATTTTTAAGTGCTATTGATCTGAAACATCTTAAATACTTTTCCTCCTTTTGGTTTTAGATGGAACTGCAGTGTGATATTTGCTTTCTTCAGTTTGATCTGGACTGCCATCGACCGAAGAGTTTGCCGTGTGGACACACTATTTGTAAAGAATGCGTGCAGAATCCTGCCATGGGTAAGAAGTGTCCAACATGCAGGAAGGTTAGTTGAAAAATAAATGAAGCCAATAAATCGTGATACTCTTATTTATGTTTTGGGACAAAAAAGTAAAACGTCTAGGTTTAATGTTAAATTGTTTTACACTGAAAAAAGATCAGCGTGTACCCCTTAGAGTAATTTGTGTGCTTTTAAAGCAAGAGGACTATAGAATAAAATATCAAAATGTCAGTTTTAAAGTAAGACGTAGAGTGAGGAAAATGTTTACTTCCTCAGAACTCACCTTGTTTCCTTTAATCTTAACATTTTAAAACATCAATTAAAAGTGAAATTTGTCGTAAATTTTCCACTTACATTACCATTATAAAAAAATTTATGGCTTGTAATCTTTTTGTAATTTTTACAGTAGTTTTAGACATTTGAAGCAATTTATCTAGTACTAACAGGCTATTGTGTTCTTTCTCAGGAACTGGAGGGTGACCATGCCGTCCTCCCTGATAACATCTTAGCCATCCGATTGATTGAGAATGGCACAAGCCCTTGCAAGATTCCCAGGAGAGACAATATAAAGCTGAAGCAGCTGCAGCAGGGCGTGGATGCGGGAAGGAGGTTGGTGCAGCTGTTGCGGAAGCTGGTCCCCGTGGCAGTGGAGGCCCTGAACCGCCAGCTGGCCTCTTCGGTCACTCAGCTCCGCGAAATGGAAGAGGCTCTGGAGCGCAGGGCTGCAGCCGACGTGTGCAACACGACGCCGGAGCTCGAGGTGAAGGAGCTGCAACTCGTCGAGCAGTTGGAGGACAGCCTCAGTCTTCTGACCTCAACCAAATGCAATGTCATGGCAGAGGAGGGCCGTGCCGCCTGGAGGGCCTCCGTTCAGCTGGGGCCAGACAGCTACATTTTGCATCTTCTCTTGCTGCAGCTGCGGACGGACGGCCAGCTGGAAAAGGTCAGCTATCAGAGTTTCGTACACTCTCTCGATGGACAGGCGGCGTTGCTCTACTTATCAGGCGTTTTGCTAGTCCAATGGCCAAGAAGTAGATCCCCAGGGTGGGAAGGGGAAGGGGGAGGGATCCTGCATGGCCTCCTTTCTGGGACGGGCATCGTGACGAATCGTTCTCTCTGGTAGTGCATGTTAAAGACGTTACCCATTTGCTGTTTACTGGTGTTCGGTATGGTGCAGCCCAAAGTTAATGAGCTCTCTCCCCTCCAGGTTGCCAATCCCACGGCCCCTGTCTCTCCGACGACTTTTGTGGGCCCGCCCATGCTGTCTATCCTCTCCATTGTAAACGAAGATCTTGATGATGGTCAGTTGAAGGTGACTGACATCCTTCGAAACGGCCGGCGATGGAAAAATGTCCGAATCCTCAGAAACGTTAAGGGTGGTGGTTCAGACAAGCTGCTGCGCGTCGTTGCCCCGCACCTCGAGGAGGTAGAGATCTTGGGCGGTGCTGAACTGAAGGTCATGGAGGAGGTGGAGAAAATGTCGTCGCTCAAAAGACTCAAGGTTGAATGCAGGGAAGACTTGAACGGCAACTACCCTGACCTGCCATTGCAGCTGAAGGAGCTCTGGATGCGTTTTCCGAAGGAAAACCAGATACGATGTGTGGAGAGCATGGCCAGGCTGCGCAGCCTGCTGATATACGACTACCACGGGCCAAATGTGACCTTCCTCCCCTCGCAGCACGGGCGGTTGCTGTGGCTGGGCGTGGGCCTCAACACGGATCACAAGGCCACCATGCTGTCCCTCATTCGCGCCCACGCCCTCTCACTACAAGAGCTGCACATTTACTGTGCCGTCAGTAACGAAGGCGATCTGCAGCTATTCTACTTCCCGGATCTGGGCCAGGACCTGGCGGCTAGCGGCTTGCACGCCCTCCGGCGCCTCGTCTTCCGGCGCTCCACATTAGATCCCTGCACGGAGGTCGACGCGTGCTTGCTGCAGCTACGATCCGTTCGGGGCTGCCTGCCCTCGTCTGTAGACGTTGTTTGCGAGGCTTGTCATGTTAGGTACCTATGTTCAAGGGTAACGAGGCCCTAGTACTGCTGTACCTGGGCGCAGCAACAGCATTGGAGGGGGGAGCGCAAGTGTGTCATGTCATATCGTATTGTGGCGATATTACACGGTTGGGAAAGGAATCGTTGTCGCGCACCTCTGCTAGCAGGCTGCAGGCTCGGATGAAAACTGTTCTTTCTTTTTGTTGCAATTTTGTTCTGTTTCTTTTCTTCAAAGTTTATATTTAGTTTGATAAAGTTTAGGCTATGGAAATAAATCTAGTCTTTCTTGGTAAATTGTTTAGAATTAGTTCAGAAGTGCGCCGTGTTTTTCTGCGATCTGGAATTTAGCTCGCCAAAGTTTAGGCGATGAAAATAAAGACTAAAGTCTTTCTTGGAATTGTCTGGCATCGTGCATTATTGTTTCTTCCCGCCCCGTCGGAGCCCCTCTGCCAGGCAAGCGTGCCCGCCGCGCTCATGTCAGCCGCCACTGCGGGTGGCCTTCCCCGCACCAGAGGCGCCAAGTATTTACGTTTAGAACGCGGGTCGGAAATGTCTCATCCGCTGCTAGGTGAACAGACGACGTACAAAAATATGGCAGAGGGAAATCACACAAATTTAGCACCGTACGGATGAAAAAAGTAAAAAGGCATAAAATCGTAAGAAGTAAGAAGTGCATTTTTTTTTCGTCTTGCACCTTACCGTCACCTCGCCACGATACTTCAGTGCGCGGGGGTGGGTATGGGGGAAACTGAAACCCTGTGAGGTTGGCTACACGAAAGGGATCGTCCAAAATGTACGTCCGCTTTTCTCGGATTCGTTCGGCAGATTACAGGAGCTCGGCGCCTGCGAAACTCAGGGTAGGCCACCCATCATTACACGCGTGTTCTGCCAGCAAGATGTTGCCTACCTGTCAGGCGCTACGAGAGCTTGCACTGGCTGAACCGGGCAGTTTCGTCACGGCAAATGACGGACCAACTTCCTGTATGATCCCCTAGGTGGCGAGGCCGTGACGTGGTTGGAACTGAACTCAGCAGCGGCCAGCAGGTTATGGTGACCTCCGCTTCTTCTCCGTCAACTCAGGCGGTAAGTGATCTAGACGCCTCAGCGTGTCGTGGTAGGACAGTCGTCGTAGCCCGAACTAGACCGTATTCTCCACGACCCTAGTGGACGCCGAACGTTAGCTAGCTGGTCAGGTCGCCTTACGAGAAGTTTACGCCACATCCCAGCCCCTGCGAGGTATGCCGAGGGGTAGGCGTGCCCGCCGCGCTTCGCTGCCGGCGCTGCGCCTCCCGACGCCGCTGCCGACAGGTGCGCTCCCCCTGGCCCAGACTTCTCTGCGTTCACACAGTCCATCCCTATCCCATGGGGTCCAACATTACACACTTATCTCCATATAGTGTTTTCAATTGGGCGGGTACGGCGGTATGGACTAATTTTTTTGTCTGCCCAAAGACTATTTTAGATGGGGTCGGCTGGTCGGCCAGAATTTTCGGCCATACTCGCCGGATCGAAAACACTAGCTCCATGCGCTTAGTGGCAGCCGATGCGCGAGCGTTTCTTCAACCGGTTCTATATTGGGGGCGAGGGAGGGGGGCAATGGGGGAGGGGCTATAAGCAAACTTAATGCTTGGTAGTAACAAAGCATCTGGTTCCTCATCACTTTGCAAAGCGTCTGCAAAGCATTGCTTTGTAGGAATTTAACAGTGCCGACCGGGCACGATGTATAGCGACGAAGCAGATCCTGCCTCGTCTGCACAGCTCTGATCAGTACTGGCAGGAGGCGGGCGGGATGTTACCAACCCCGCTCCCTGCCCCCCTTCCATTCCGGCAGGCTTGGCTCGGCTCTAAACACTAACACTCTGGGCTGGGCCTCCACCCGCCTCTCCCCGCTCCCGCCGCTCCCCGCTCCCGCCGCGAGTGGAGTCCGCGATCCGTTTCGCCGCGCACTCAGTACCCAACCCACCCACCGCTCGGAGCTGCAGCATGCCGCCGTTCCACGCGCTCTGCGCCGCGGTCTCCGCCACGGCGGTCGTGGTGATGCTCACGGCGTCGGTCGTCGGTGCCCGGGAGCAAGGTGACACTGTCGAGGTCGGGGAGCGGGTGTTGGTGCGACTCAACGTGGCAGGGGAGGGCGGCGGGGTGGTGCTCTTCATGATGTGCGACAACAAAGCCTGCGGCAAGGTGGAGTGGTGGAGCGTCGAACCCTACAAGGAGCCCGCCATCCGCTACAAGTCCTTTGTGAACTGTGACAGCGACGGTTGGGGCGGAACGCGAGTCGATGGTGTAAGGACACGTTGCTGCTCTGAGTTCGAATGTGAGGCTCGGCGAGGCTGATAATAATATTTTTCTTCTTTTTCTAAAACATTTATTTTTCGTACTGGATACACGGCTGGCGGGCAGAACGTTAACAAGGACAGCGACGTCAACAAGCAGTTTCCGGCTTCCACTCAGCTCCTCGTGACCCGGACCTCCGACGCGCTCCTCACCGTCCAGCTGTTCAACGGCCGCACCGCGATGTCGGCTACTAAAGTGGCTCTCTCCAAAACCATGAACCGGCTGTACATCAAGAAACACCGGGAACTGCTCCTCTCCCGCGCCAACATGACATTCGAATTCCTCGGTGCGTGCTGTGCTGAGCCTGCAAGTTGTAACGAATTTTCTGCTCGATTTCAGGGCCACTTTGTTTGTGTTGTCCCCCGCAGACCTCTACGAGTTCGACTCGTCCATGTGCGCCAACGGAGGTGTGTTCGTCACAGAGACGAACTCTTGCGAGTGCGCGCACGGCTTCCACGGGTCGAACTGCGAGACAGGTGGGTAGGGTGCCAGGGTGCCTGCCGCCTCCCTGACCGAGCCTGCCGCCTGTCCTGCTGTGCCCTGCGACGGGCATCGGATGCACAAATGAGTCTGAGGACGACTAGTAGTGGAGTGAGATGCTCGCACCGGACCAGCCACCTCTCACTAACAGCCGTTTTGCCGTGCATTATTTGAGCCTACGTCATCCGAATCAGATTCGATTCGGATCCGGATCCGATGCCCGGGCGCTGCATGGCATGGCCGCATGCTCTGCCCCCTCCCCTGTGCAACCTTGTTGGCCTCTCTCACCCCGTGTGTCCTCCTCGGCAGCGTCCCGTGTGGAAAGCAAGTCTGTAAACATAACGTATTTTTGCCGTTTTCCAACAGCAAGTTTAACAGTGAACGTAGACCAAAAAAGCGTCAAAAATACGTCAAAATAACGGCAGAGATACGGAAAACCTATTTGTCGTTGAACTGCTGTAGTTTTGACGTTTGTAAGGTAGTAAAGGTGTACAGATTTACTACCAAGAATACGTCAAATTTATGTCCACCGAAAGAGAGGGCTAAAACAAAACTGTCCGGACCGGACGCTGCGGTGCGGAGTCGAACTCACGAACCTTAGCGTCTCGGTCTGATGCGGTATCCACTAGGCCACGGCGATCCCACTCCAAACAAGCCGTCCCCGTCCCCCTCCAGTCACGAGATGACAGCTACCGTCTCTTCGAGCCTCCACTTCTGCCGCCTGACTGGAAGGGGACGGCTCCTTCAGCGTGGGATCGCCGTGGCCTGGTGGATATTGCATCAGACCGAGACGCTGAGGCTCGTGTGTTCGACTCCGCACCGCACCGTCCGGTCTGGACAGTTTTGCTTTAGCCCTCTCTTTCGGTGGACATAAATTTGACGTATTTTTGGTAGTAAATCTGTACACCTTTACTACCTTACAAACGTCAAAACTACAGCAGTTCAACGACAAATAGGTTTTCCGTATCTCTGCCGTTATTTTGACGTATTTTTGTCGTTTTTTGGTCTACGTTCACTGTTAACTTTCTGTTGGAAAACGGCAAAAATACGTCATGTTTACAGACTTGCTTTCCACACGGGGTGCGGCCCGGACCGCTACGGCCGCAGCTGTAGCAGCAAGTGCTCCGGGAACGGCCGGGGCTGTAGGGGAGGCCTCTTCAAGGACGTCCGGCAGGTGGGCTCCAAGGTCTGCGGCACGGGGTTGCACGGCCACGTCTGCGATCAGGGTGAGTGTGGGAGGAGGGGGGGGATACTGAGGTTGACCTGAACGGCCGCTAAACTCGGCCCGTGTTGCAACAGTGTGCAGCCCCGGGCTGTACGGCCCCGGCTGCACCCTGAGCTGCGGCCAGTGCGACCCCGACCCCGGGCAGTGCGACCCGTACACCGGCCAGTGCCCGGCGGGCTGCCGGCCCGGCTACCAAGGGTCATCCTGCCAACGCGGTGAGTAGGGAGCCAGGAGCCGTTGCTCTCTTCATGACGCAAACAACACCAGCGAGTGCCTAACTGTCCCACAGAGCTCACCCACCTCACCGTGGGCCCCGACATCGCCAACGTCACCGACACCTCGATCAGCGGCACCTTCACGCCGTCGGCGGACAACGTGCAGGGTTCCGGCACCGTCTCGTACTACGACGTGCAGTACAGGGTGAGCGATACGGTTAGCTGCCACTTTGGCCACCGCTCGTCCCGCGGCCGCTAACGAATGACCCCTAGGGTGGTCAGTAGACGTTTAAGAAATTGCGAATGTACGCCCCCCTCCCCCTTTTTCTCTCTCACAATCACCGGACTTCGACTAACATTTTTTGGACGACCACCAGGAAGTGAACGCGGCGGGGCTCGGCGCTGGCAACTGGGTCTCACGAGTGCTGGTGGAGCGCCTGCGGAGCAGCTGGTCGGCGTCGCCCGAGGCGTCGCCCCCCGAGGTACACAACTTCGTCGTTAGAGGACTGCGTCCTGGAGTCGAGCACGAGCTGCGGGTCGTCCTGCTCGACAACGCACTGAGAGGCTACGAGGCCGTGCCGCGAGTCCGCGTCAGCACCACTGGGACTCGTAAGACTCGCGGGGCGAGGGGTTTCTATTGGGCAGGCGGAGGCACTAACTCGTGTGCTCGACAGGTCGCATATCCGACATCACTGTGTACAACGTGACGGCGCGCGCGGCTAACATCTCGTGGTCCAATCCCGTCGGCGACGCCGTCCTTGTGCGATACGAGGTGAGTTAGGTGAACACCCTATCTGCCCTGGACACCATACTGACGCGCAGCTCACACGTCACTTTGGGATTTCCCTCGCAGTGCGTCAAGTGGCTAGCGTGCTTCGAGGACTGCTTCCGGTCGTCAAACATGTTTATCATCGGCGAGCTCGAGAACCGCACGACTGCGAGCATCGAAGGGCTGCTGCCCGGGGCGACCTATCGGGTGCTGGTGTCCCCCAAGAACGCTGCCCGCGAACAAGCAGAATGCACTACTTTTACAACACAATTCACAGGTGCGCTCTAAAAATCTTACTTGAAGAAAGTGTGTTTTGTATTACGAACGTCGACCTCCGTAATATGAAGCTTTTCTTCGAAGTGTGAAGAATCTCTGTGCTAGCACACAGCTAGCTGTTATGATTCTAACAAAGTTCGTTCGTCGTATCACGAAACTACCCGTTTGTATTACGAAGAATTTCTTTCACATCAAAAACAATTTCGGGGATCAGAAATGTTACGTGTGCAAATAGACAACCAGCCGTTTAGAATGAAAGGCTCCATCCGAATTCTCATCAGTCCGGTTCGTTTCGTTTCCTTTCGCGTCTTTTTCACCCCCCGCCCCCCGCCCCCCTCCCCCTCCCCCTCCCACGAAGGACACAAAGGAAAGGAAACGAACCGGACTGATGAGAATTCGGTCAGCAACATCGTTCGTAATATGAAATAATTTCTTTATATAACGAACGAGAAGATTCATAATGTGATCAGCACAGAGATTCTTCATACTATTACGAAGGGAATCTTCGAAGGCCGACGGTCATAAAATTAAAAGGGTGTTGTGGCCAATCAGCGTAACGACTGCAGACCCGCACTGATCAGAGGACTGACCTTTGCATGATTCCTTAGTCCCGGACGCCGTGCCCAAGGCCGTGGTCGAGGTCGACGAGGCAGTGAACAGGTCGGGCGCCGCCGACGCCGACCCGGGGGTGGTCTCGGTGAACGACATGTCGGCCACCATTCGCTGGAGGATGCCGGAGTCCTGCGGTGATCTGAACGGCCTTGTGACGGGCACACGGTGGCAGCTGTTCCTCCGTGCGGGCGCGTGCACGCAGGGCTGCTCCCCGGTCTTGTCCTCGGGCTTGACGGCGCGGTAAGACTCTTCGGGTTATGATGACGGTTCCTGTTCGAAAAAAGGGCCTTCAGAATGTCTCTTTCCCAACGCCTAGACTGGGCTACATTTTGTATCATCGTAGTCTCTACATTGTCTCTGCGGTGTCTTCTATTCAGCCTATCTCTGCAACACCTCTGCAATATGTCTCCAGACAGTCCTGCAGGCCTGCAATAAATACATTTCGGAGACATTCGTAGGGCACTTTTTTCTGTGCGGGTTAGTGCCTGGTCAGAGCCTGGAACGCTAAGCTCCGTGCTCCTTCTGCTTGCAGCACGGAGCTGGATCTGGAGGCCCTCGAGCCGAGCACGGCCTACGAGCTCCGACTTTGGCTCTTCAACACCGAGGGCTACAACCCGGAGCGCTACCTAAGCGTGCGCTTCAATACAGCGGCACCGGCAGCATAAAGTAATCACAATATCCTGGACAGCATGATGTACCAGGTGGCTGATTCACGCCGCGCACTTCTGTACTTATGCTGTACCGCATGCACGAGTGCGGGCGGTTTGCCTACTCGCTCGGCTCGAAAAGCGCCGTGGATAGGGGCGATAGGAAAGCCCGCCCGCACTTGTGCATGCGGTACAATATACCTACAGAAGTGCGCGGCGTGAATCAGCCACCTGGTATGTTACTTACCAGTGCATCGTTATTTTTACCGCTCTCCTGTCGTATGACATGTCCCTTAGAATTGTTTCGAATAAAGTATTACGCTTTTGAAATAATTTCAACTGTTATGAAATGCGTTATTTTTTCTGCTGCGTATTTTTTGATAATTTGTGGTTCAAGTGTATATGATTATGGGCAAGAGAGTGTTTTGTCGGCCAACTTTTCTGCACGTCAGTGAACGTTAATTGTGGGAGCACCTAGCGTCATCGAGAAAGCGCGTTAGTCATTTGCCGTTACGAACCTACCAAGCTCCAGTCTCTACGAACACTCGTAGCGCCTGACAGGTAGGCAACATTTAGCCTGCAGTGCGTGCCTGCTCTGCTCGGTGGCCTACCCTGAGTCCTACAGGCGCCATTATTAAAAATAGTTGTGACGTGATGACGTTTTGCTTGATGCCATTTAGACAGTTCGACGCTTCTTAACAATAATGTATCATCTACGTGGATTCGCATTCAAAATGACCGATTTGCAAAGCGGCGCTTTCATTGTTGTATCCGCGTATCGGGAATCCTCCGTAGTTAAAAAAAAAACCTCTACAACATTAAGGCATGCTTTTCCGGGAAGGGGTCTTTGCTCACGATCAAGCTCTTCGTAGTACGGTAATACCGTGAACATTAAACCTCTCTCACCTCACTAAAACAGAGGTCGGATACGCGTCACAAACCACCTCGACGGGCGAAGGCAGAGGCAGGAGGTTCTGCACCTGCAACAAGCAGCCAGCGACATCCGTGCAAGGGTCGGAGCTTTAACGTGTACGAGGACGCGTCGCCGGCGACGACCGTGTAGGCCACATCCAGCCAGATCGCGACCCAGGTCGGGGAAGTAGAAGTAGCCGTCTACTTATTTCTTCCTCACTGATGTTATACAGTACATGCAGCTCTTCAAGTGATGAGGCGTGGGCGCGCATCAGCAGAGAGAGCATGGTGGGCACCTTAAAAGTGTTGAGGCACACGCTCAGCCAACGCAGAGTGGCTGCCCCATGAGGCCAGGAGTTGTGCCCTCATTGTCTGCCACACCCGGCTGCATCTGCAGCTCCAGGTCCTCCTCCAGTTGGCGGAGCTGGGTGAGAGACGTTTCCAGCTGGCGGTTCAGCGCCTCTACGGTCCTCAGGACCACCAGCCGCAGTGCCTCCTTCACCTCCCTCCCCGCGTCCACACCCCACTGCAGCTGCTGCACCTCTGGATCTTTTCTTCTTGGCCTCACCGGGTGGTAGATCCTGTAAGAATAAAAGAAATTTATTAAGCTGAGTTATTAAGCTAAGTTAGGGACTTTGAATGTAAACAAGATGTGAAGATTGGGCCGGGGTCGGACGCAGTGGATGGGGTCGGTACTCCACCTCAGTTCAGCAACAGGGTATGTTAAACTTGGGGGTAGTTTTTGTACGTTTTGACAGTTTTTCGACTCTGGAAGTGAAACGGACACGAAACTTGGAGGGAGGCTCCTTTGGGGTGTTGTGTAACAGATTCAGGTGGACCCTACATTTTATCCCCGTCCAAAGGGGTGCAGGGCCCCTCGGGGGTGGTTATACCACCTCGGCAGGGGTTGAAGCTGGCGACACCGGGTTTCTCAGCATGGATGTGTTTCAGACGAAAAAGGAACCTGTTCTGAAAGTTCCAAGCCTAAATTTGAACCCTAAGGGTACAAAATGACCGATATTCAAAAAGGGGTGGGACGCGGGGGTTGTTCAGCCGGGGGTTGCCCAATTCGAAAAAAAAATACATGGGCCGTGTAAAGGGGGTGCAGGATTATGCGCCATATTTGACGAACCACAACACTCACCACCTTGAAGCGGTGGGGGTGAATGTGGAAGGGGGTGGATTCTAGGGCCGGACTGGACAGGCGGGGTGACTGGGTGCGGGGAGCTGCATGCCTGATAATGTATTAGGTATACCATTCTTGTCCGCCTAAGCATGTCCCCATTCAGGTGAATCCCTTCTCTTTGCCTCCTCCTCTTTCCCCTTCATTCTCCAGTGGGACCTCCAAAGCATGGCGTATGAACACTGTGAAAAATTAATTTGTACATGTACGATATATTTTGTAATTTGCCATTTACAATACGAGTCGTACATGTACAACCT